TGGAATTGTCGAGAACACTGCAGTGAATAAACCATAACCTTCCTTCCTTATGAGACAGCATATTCTCCTATTGTGCAGAATCTGTTAGTTCAATCTCTAACGTTCTGCTCTCTCTGCTTTTCCTCATAATAGCTTCATCTGGTCTGTTCCTGTTTGGCTGTGACTCCATCCTGGAGAGAAATATCAGCTGTGCTGCTGCCATCAACACCTTTGTTTCTAGATGTTGGAGATCGGCCTGTTTTCCAGTGTAGTCCTGTTTCTCTGACTGTGACTAACTGGATGTGCTCTCTTCATCCTCTGACATGGTGTTTCCTGGACGGGGCTGCCTTTTACAGCTGCTTTTTGTATCTCTGCTTCCGTCTCCTTGAACCCCAGTGGGCCTCAGCAGATGGCCGCTCACCCTGAGCCTGGTTCTGCTGGAGGTTTCTTCCTGTTCAAAGAGAGTTTTAACTCACCACTATCGCTACAAGCATGCTTAGTGTGAGGGATTGCATTCAAGTCAATGAGTCGATGCAATCAACTGGTTTTCGTTCGATAGAAAACTTTGAATCAATTTGACTGTATGATCTGATGAACTCTAAATTAGCCCCCCGCCAAGACCAAGGACCAGGCGGCTCGCTCTTCCTCCAGGCCCCAGACTCCAGGCGGCAGCTGGGGAACAGGGGTGTGAGAAGACCCCGATCCTCCCCGCGCCTGCTCAGATGTGGTGTTGTTGCATGTTGCTCTCAGGTGTAATTAAACTGGGACTACCAAAAGGGGGTGTCAGCACAGTCCTTCCACCTCCGGGAGACAGGCAGTGCGAGTGCACCCCCCCAATCGACAACCCTGAACCCTAAATGTCTAAATGCGAGAGGGGATGGGTTGAGCCGACCGTGGTGAGGCCCATGAAATAAGCCTCCCCGGGTGCCCTTGACCCCCACACCCCCAGATAATGCCCTACATAGAAGTGTGTTGTGAAAATGTTGTAGATGGAAGTGTCTAAAATGCAAAATAAAATTGGGGTGGGGGACGTCATTAGAAGGTGGGGCCCTCTAGTAACAACCCCCTCCCCAGAAAACTACATGTGTGGCAGTGTGATGGAGCAGGCAGAGGGAGAATTCTGGGGATGGGGAGCAAGTCTTATACAGTGATTTAGGAAAGCTTCCCAATACTGGCAAACACTCTGGCGTCGAGGTAGTGACAGCCCGCTGCTCAAATACTCCTCTGGTAATGACCCAGCGAGCCACAGGTGTGCAAGGAGGCACAACGAGGACAGGGCACCATCTAGTGGTGGAGAGAAGAAAAAACACAAAAACAACCAACACAAACTGGAATCCTAACATCATCACTGCTATCCCTGCTTCCCATCGTATAGATGCTGATGTTCCTGTTAAATCAAGACAATAGTTTTGCTCTGAAAAACTCTGAAAGTTCAAATGGATCAAAGCAATCTGAACCTGGTTCAGATTCCATGACTACCTCAGATGCTGCCTAACCCTCCAGAGATAAACCAATCAAAGATAGAGGAGTGCTAATGATCTTATTTTTAATAAGATCAATCTTATTTATAAAGAATCCCATAAAATCATTACTCCTAAGAGCAGGTGAAATGGACGGTTCAACTGAGCTATAGCTCTGGGTGAGTTTGGCAACAGTATTAAAAATAAATCTAGGATTATTCTTATTCTCCTCTATTACTGAGGACAAATATGCTGCTTTTGCACTACAAAGGGTCCTCTTATAGAGCAGCAAACTATGTTTCCAGACTAGGTAGGATTCCAGCTCTGCATTAAACTAAGGAGCCAGCTTTCTATTTTTAACGGTTTTCATTTTCAAAGGAGCTGCGTTGTCTAAGGCAGTACGCAGAGAACTAGCAACTCCATCAACAAAATCATCAACCTGTGAAGGGGAATGAACTAAGCTTTTGCACTCTGCAGCATAATGATAATGATCTGCTGAAGTGAAACGTTCTTTTGGGTGAGAAGAACTCTGTTAAAGTAATCCTGAAGGAGAGAAACCACTTAACCTAATTTCTGCTTTGGTGATAGTAAAAAACCGTATAGGGTTCTTCCAGCGCACCACTGTTGACAAGAGGAACATCTGCAGGAGGCTGCACACCCAATGCTGTGTGAGCTCTCTCTAACCTTAGACCCTTCTCTCTGCTCAGGCCCACACTGTTCCCAAGTGCAGTCTTAATCAGATTTTCCACATACCTCAGCATAGAGGTACCTTCCTCGCCCTTGGGGATACCATAACCATATATCCATATGTTATTCCGACGAGAGTTATCCCAAGACTGTAATCTTATCCCTGGACAATAGGATCCCAAACTCAAATGTCCGGTTTATCTTTTCCTGCTATATTCCTCTCTATTTATTCAAGGACCCTACCTACTTCCTCTACCGTTTTGGTGATGGGATTGAACTGTTGGTTTATTTTGTTTTTAAGTTGATCCTTCATTTCCCCCTTCAGGTTTGCGGAACTCCTTCTTCATTTCTGATTTTAGGTCTTGCACAGCGTCCACCATTACCGCCGTTGCTAACTTTCTGAGCGTCAAAGGAAAGGACTTTCCTCCATTTTCTCTTCCTCTTGTCCTATTTGTGTTACATGCACTTTTTGTGTGTGTGTTGTATTTCTGAGCTCCAAGCTGCATTGGGTCCAGGGTTGGGTATGTCTCACCACATTCCGCAGTTGGGCTGGGATGAGGCACTCCATGGTCCTAATCAGGTGGGAGGTCAGGGTGACTGGTCTAAAGTGGGCTGGATTCTTGGCATGCAGCATTTTGGGAACCGGTACCACACAGGAGGTCTTCCAGAGAGTGGAGAACACCTCCAGGCTAAGGCTCAGGTTTTAGATGTAGCTGAGCTCATCAGCAAAGTTCCTCAGCAGCCTTGGGGGATGCCTTTCAGTCCAGAGGCTTTGTTTCAGTCTCTTCAGCTGGCGTCTTCCTGTATCAAAGTAACTGTAAGGGATTGGAGGCAGAATATGCTTCTTCTGATTCAGATTTGTTATTCCATAAATTTTCCAAGTTTTACAATCTTGGTTGGCATAACAAAACGTTTGTACGGAACTTCTGTAACAGAAGCGTAGAACGACTGAATCAAATTAAGATATCGAAGTTGTAGGTTCGATTCAAGCTTCCTTCTGTCATTTGTGGATGTGGGAAACCCCAAGAACCTGTGACAGCTTAAAGCAAGTTGAGCTGCCATGAAAACATCTAATAAATCACTCACTTTATAAGATAATTTAGAAGCAATTCCATTGTGGGACCAACTTTAACTGACATTAGTAACTAATCAGAAAATGAATATGAAATAAACTCAGAAAGTTTATATAATGTTTAAATTATTCACTTTAATTCATTAGTATCCATGTTTTTCAGGATTAAAAGCATCAGATTGGATTTTGAAGACTTGATCTCCAACAGTTTTGAAATCAGATCAGAGCTTCCTGCCATCTACCAGCTGAGAACAAAGAAGGAGAAGTTTGGAACTCTGACCAGAGTCATTTATGGTCAGAAATATGTGAAGAAGCCAAACAGAACCATCTTACTTGTTGGTGAAACAGGAACAGGAAAGTCTACTCTGATCAACGCTCTGGTCAACTATGCCATGGGGGTGAAGTTTGAGGATGAAGTCTGGTTTCAGATTGTAGAAGAAGAGAAGAGAAGTCAGAAAGAGTGCCAAACCTCAGATGTGATCGTCTATCAGATCTTTGAAGGTCAAACTCTGCCGTTCTCTCTGACCATCATCGATACTCCTGGGTTTGGAGACACCAGAGGGATTGAATATGATTTGAATATCAGTCAGAGATTGTTAGACTTGTTTAGATCGGAGGATGGAGTTCAGGAGATTCATGCAGTTGGTTTGTTGATAAAGGCAGCTGAGAACCGACTGAGTGACCGTCTGAAGTACATCTTTGACTCAGTGATGAATCTGTTTGGAAAAGACGTGGAGAAAAACATTGTAGCTCTGGTCACTCACTCAGATGGAACAACACCTGAAAATGCTCTAGAAGCTCTTGAAGTTGCAGATATTAAATGTGCCAAAGATGGAAACAATCAGCCTGTTCACTTTCTGTTTAACAATCAACAGAAGACAGAAAAAAACACAGCAGAGAAAACGGTTGCTTTGAAGCATTCCTGGGATTTTACTGAAGAACAAATACAAAACTTCACCACCTACTTAGACAGATCCAAACCTAAGACACTAAGAACAACCGTGAAGGTTCTGAAAGAGAGGATCAGACTGACTGCCTGCATCCAGAACCTGAATGAGAGAGTTGAGCTGAGTGAAAAGAAACAGAAAGAGATTAAACAGATGCAAGAAGCTCTAGAGAACAATGAAAAAGAGATGAAGAATAATGAGAACTTTACTGTAGAGATTGATGAGACCTATAAAGACAAAGAACCAATTAGTGGTGGGATGTGGTGGTGGATGCCTTTTTATGAAGGAGCTGTCTGTTGCACTCAATGCAAAGAGAACTGCCACTACCCTGGATGTACGATGGCCTGGTATCCTCAGCACTGTGAGGTCATGAAAGAAGGTCGCTGCACAGTTTGTACAGGAAAATGTCCTGCATCAGTTCATTTGAAAGAGAACTGGAAGTATGTGACCAAAACCAGAAAAGTTCAGAAGACTCTGGATTACCTGAAGGAGAAGTATGAAAAAAATAAAGCTGAATGTGAGATCAAGTCAAGACTTTTGGGAAAGCTTGAAGAGGAAGCCAGGTGGCTGTCTGCAAAAAGATCAATGTATCTGGATGAAGCATATCAACATGCTGACAGACTGAACCAAATCGGCCTCAACGATGCACCAGTTTCTACTTCTGTCCACCTGGACTTCCTACATGAAAGATTTAAGGAGAAAAGAGACACCCAGAAGATTGAGAAGCTGAATGAGATGAAACTAGCTGTGGGTGTGAATAACACTTTTCCAGTAGCACCTTACAGGGGTTCTGAACAGAGTAACTCATTTTGGTCCTGGTTAAAGAATTTAAAATAAAACACATAACCCATCTTTGAACATCTCTTGCTTCTGAAAAGGCTTCAGATATTCTTTTAACAATATGTTGAGATTCCAAATCATTGATTATATGTGAATTTTAATACTACTGTAATTACTTTGAACAGGGGCACATCTTTACATAATTTTATTCTAGAAAGTCATATCAGCTGCTATAAAAATCTTGTTATATTAAATAATTACTGTCCTTTTGACAGGTAAACCACAAGCTTTCAGGTATGATAGAGGGGTGGAAATCATATAGTGTAAATATTTCTTTTTTAATCTTATATTAGATTATGTTCACTCTTACTCTATTACATATGTTCTAACCTCTGATCTTTTATGTTAATTTTTAACATTGAAAATGTTAAATCTGAAGTTTTTGAATCTGATTGATAAATAATGTTATGTAATATTATATTACAGAAAAAAACTGTGTATAATGTTTTTTATTTTTTAATATTTGCTTGAAATTTTACATCTTTTGCAACATGGTCGCCTTTGTGGTTTGATTTTTGTCAATAAAGCAGTGGCTCAGTAAATCGTTTTTTTCTTAATGGCTTTACAGGAGTATCAGCTGCAAATGATCAACTTAATTCATTAACCTTTAGATCCTTTAATCTCTTAATGTGACAGTGATAGACACCTATTGCAGAAACCAGCAGGAGGCTCAGGCTTCTAACAACAACAGCTAAGAGCACTATTAACTGTTTGTGATTTGAAAATCTGTTTTTCAGATCACATGCCTATTTTATTTCATGCTATTCGTCTTACTCAATTGTTTAAAATCTGCCCTCCTGCAGCTCAGTGACCCAGGAGTTTGTACTTTGTCTACTGTTGATTAATTATATGTTGTTTTTAGGCCTCGGCATCTTCAAACATCAGGGAGCTTTCCTTATATTGTAATTCCTTGTGCAAAAATAGTCTAAATTTCATAGCCCCACACTGTAAAAAAAAAAAAAAAAAAAAACGTCAAAATTACGATAAATACCGGCAGCTGTGGTTGCCAAGAAATTACCTTAAAAAAGTTTTTTCTGTACAAGACAATACGGGACATTTTTTTTAGGTAGCCATACATTTATACAGCTGAAAACCTTTTTTTCACTGTAAGTCATTGTAGAAAAAAAAATATGGTAAACTTTGAACTGTAATGTCCTGTAAAAAAAAAAATTGCCCTTTCCATAGATTTGCACAGGTGTCAAGTAACGAAGTACAAATACTTTGTTACTGTACTTAAGTACACTTTTTAGGTATCTATACTCCATTACTTATTTTTCCTCCTACTTTTGACTTCTACTCATTACATTTTCACACAAGTATCTTTACTTTCTATTCCTTACATTATTAAAACAAATGTTTGTCGTTCGGTTTAAAGCACAGGTCACGGATTAGCGGACTGCGATGTTATGAACAACATTAAATCCAAAGGTAAAGCTGATATATTTGTTGTAGTCTCTTTGTTATTCACACACAATAAACAGCGATTAGCCGATGTGGGTTTTAAAACTGCAAAGCTTTGTCTTCAACTGAAAATCAAACGCGCGTCTACACAGACCAGTGTGATGCATTCGCGAGCGTCAGACAGCAATGGTGCATTTAGGAGCATGGGACATTTCAGACTTACAGACTTACGAAAGAGACAAAAACGGAACAGAACTCATACAATAATGTATTTATTCAGAAACAGTGTGGGCTTTCTTACAATACTGAATGCTCTATAATTGTGTTTCTGTTATTTTTTAAATATGCACATCTGCTAGCTTTTTATTCTAAAAAATCTATAATATTACAGCAGCAAATTATCAAAGTTTTTCAAAAGCCTGTTTAAAAGCGCCAAATGAGGCTTTGGATCGTACAGCGACAATTGCGCTGTCATTGTTTTACAGGTAAATCTTGTGCTAAATGCTGACTCTTGTCCTTTAACTAGTGATGGATATACAGGAATACAGTCATACAAGTGTAAACTCCTCTCAGATAGAACAGGATGCAATATTTGGCAATTTCTATTTTTATTTTTTCACCTTTTTTTTTTTTATTCAATGTAACATGAATGCATAAATACGTCATTTTATTTCAGTGTTAAATTCTGTTTAAAGTAACAGATCATTAAAAATTTCCCCTGACATTTACTGGTTGATTTTCTTTATTCGGACCCCACTGAGTTTTTATTAGTTACCCGTGGTTTCATGTTTCTAAATATATATTTCACGTCATGTGCGCCATCCAATGCAGATCATTGGCTCCATCCACATCTAGTGAAAACTAGTGTGATTGGATGAGTCGTATAACGCAAACACTCATTGGTTAGCTAAAGGAAATCATCAGAAGCAAGCAGGTGTTCTTCAAACTGCTAACGTGAAT